TGTGTGTGTGTGTGTGTGTGTGTGTTGGCATGGCATATGTCTGTATAAGTATGTGCCCTACTGTGGGTACCCAGTCTCTCTGTGTATATCTGCCTGTATCTCTCTTTCTCTGTTTCTCTGTTTCTCTGTGAGTCTGTGTGTCTGTGTGTCTGCCTGTCCCTCTCTTTCTCTGTCTGTGTGTTTGTGTGTGTGTGTCTATCTGCCCATCTCGCTCTCTCTCTTTCTCTGTGTGTGTCTCTCCCTATTTCTCTTAGTATGTCTCTCTGTGATATCCCCCGCTGTGACTGTCTGCCCCATGGCTGGCTGGCTGTCTTTCTCCTTTTGGTCTCTCTCTGTATGTCTCTCCCTGTTCCTCTCTGTAATATCCCCTGATGTGACCATGACCGACTACCTTATCTGTCTCTTTCTCCTCTGTTTCTACCTGTCTATCCCTCCCTCCTTCTTTCTCTCCCCCAGTGAATATATGTATTTCTATCTTGTTCAATATTCTGTGACTATCATTTGCCCAATGATGTGTCAGAGTCTCAGGAATGCCCATTGGCCCCTCTAAGCTGTTCTGGATACTATCAGAATGACTTTCCCCATTTGTTTTGAGTACTTTGAGGAGAGAGAGAGAGAGAGAGAGAGAGAGAGAGAGAGAGAGGTGCCCATACATACAAGTAGAGAAAAGAACAGAATAGCACTCTCTGCCTTATTCCCTTGAAACAGGATCTCAATGAACATGAAGCTAGGCTGGTGACCCGAAGTGCCTGTGCTTGGGTAACAGGCACATGTGGCATTAATTTGTAGATGCTGGGGGATCTGAACTCAAGTACACACTGTTGGAGGGGGTAGTTCAGGGGCAGGAAAGAGCCTGCAGCTCATGGCTCTGCATGACTTGGAGTCCTCAGGGAGACCAAGGCTGCCTCCAAGGCCAGGTGTTCTTTGGCAGACTGTCCCAATCCACAGAGATTTCTATGCCAAATTATAAGGGCAAGTGAGGAGGAGATAGGCCACGGGCTTTAGTCTTTCATGGTCTGTCAGCTTCCCTCTGATACTAAATGGGTCCTTTCCCCAGAACTTCACAGGGAAATGGGAGCCTGACTCAGTTCGCTGTGATACTCCAGAGCAACTGCTACTAAAAGGCTCCACATCTGAATACCTCGTGGACCCCAAGAGTCTTGCTGAACCCCAGGAGGACAAGGAGAGAGACCAGAAGCCACTGCCCCCACAAAATGTGACAGTTTTCTTGAGACCAGGTAGGTTTGAGCTTGGGGTGGACCAGGCACATAGCATTTACAGGAGCTCGACCAGCATCCCCTGGGTATCACTGTGGACAGATAGACTGTATCTCAGTTTCTTTTTCTGATGGTATAATAAAATGCCTACACAGACAGCTCAAAGCTGAGAGGTTTTGGTTCATAGTTCAAAGGTGCATGCAGTCCATCATGGTGGGGAGTTCAGCAGAAGCTTTAAGTAGCCAATTATATCCCAACTATAGTCAGGAGGCAGAGGGTGATGGGAGCAACCACCACTCAGCTCCCTCGTCTAACTCATAGAGCCCAGGATACCAGACAGGGAATGGTGCCGCCCACAGTGGACAGATCTTCCCACCTCAATTAACAGAACTAGGATGACCCCCACAGGCTTTCCCAAAGCCCTGTCTCCCAGGCGACTCTAAGTTCTGTAAGCTCCCAAAAACCCTTAGGAGGCTGAAGCAGGAGGATCATCTGAATGCAGGGGGTGATTTAAGGATAGACACACACACAAACACCATGCACATCATATACATATATGTATATATGTATATGATGTGCATGATTTTATATATATATATATATATATTCTAAAAGACCAATTTTGTCCATAGCTTTGCGTCTTGCTGCCTCTAAGCAAGAACCCAACCTCCATTGCCTGCAATCTATGCTGGATGCTCGCCTTGTCTCTCTTATCCCTGAATTGTGTTTTTGTTCTGCTTTGTTTTGTATTTTAAAGGGAGAACAAACCATTTGAAAAATACTGTTGCATTCACCCTCAGAAGGTCAAGGTACTCTTGACAGAATAAGAGCTACGATACCTCCTGCAGCCAACAGATTTAAACCAGCCTTGGCCAACAGATTTGACCGTATGACCACAACAAATATTTCAGAACACAGGCTCCAGAGTTCCTATGAGGCCTGGCCCCAGGGAGTCAGGGTAGCAGATCAAGCCTTGGGCAGGAGCAAAAGTCTCCGCAGGCTGAGTAACTCACCCACCAGATGTACTACTCATGGATCTGGAGAATAGAAGTCCAAGATCAGGGTGCTCACAGGGAGGGCTGTTGGGTTCCCTGGAATCCTCTTCAGCCATCTGCTCAGTATCCCAAAATAACAGACAGTGGTAGAAGAGTTCTTGTTCCTACCCCCTCCCAATTTTTTGTTAAGACAAAATCTCACCATGTAGCCAAGGCTAGCCTCAAACTTAGAGATTCTCCTGCCTCTGCTTCCCAAGTGCTGAGGTTAAAGGTGTGCATGAGCGGGCATAGAAGTCAATATCTTTTTAGTGATGCTAACCTAGGCAGCAATGGCTGAATAAACTGAGGGGACTGAGGAACTACTGGACAGAGCTATCCATATGCAGCACATGCTTGGTGGCCCAGCAGTGACCTCTTCTCCCTCACAGGTCAAGCAGCAACATTCAAAGTGAACTTCTAGTGGACCCAAGACAACTCCATTGACCTGCACTTCTTGATGGCCCCCTCTGGCTCTGTGCAAGGCCACCTCTCCAATGTCCAGACACTGGGCAGTGACCTGCTCCAAGCCCTCAATGAGATCTCCAGGTCAGACCAAATCGGTGAGGAGGCCCACAGCCACTGTAGGCTTCTAACTCATCTCTTCCCCATATCCTGGGCAACCCTTGCTCCCACTCACCAGAGGCAGAGATCTGAGGGTCCTCAAGCCATCTGGAGTGTGAGTGGTACTGGACCTGACTCCCCTCCAGAGGCTATGCCCAGTCACTTGACCACAACATTCAGCCCTCAACTTCCTCTTCTTTCCTTTTTCATTCATCTTTTGGTGTGCTCAAAAGACAAAAATGCTAATTTCTAAAAAAAAAATTAATGAACTTCAAAGTATGTTGATTAAGTAGCAATTATGGCATAAAGGTAGTAATCACAGTGAGCAAAGGTCACAGATCAAAGGGTCAGCACTCCACAAGCACCAGTAGGTTCACAGAACATAAGGCTTGTGTACATGCATGTGTGGTATATGCACATAAAGGTTTGTGCACATACATGTGTGGTATGTATGTACACATAGCTCCACATGGCCTGGTTCCCCAGAACAGCACACTCTCTTTTCTGAATAGTGATGCACTCCCTCATACTTGGACATATGGGTGCCCGTTTACACACTTGTATATGTATACATAGCCAATACACACCTGAAGGCATGCTCACACACATATAAGACCACACATGCACATACATTCTCAGATACATATCTGGTGATGCACATGAACCAAGTATATCCATACCTAGATATGCTCGCATACATACAGGAACATGCATGTGTGTACTGCACCCACACATATGCACAATTTTGAATGTTCACAATGTGTACACATCTACAAATACCCACAGATACCATACCGACCTCTCCCTTGCTTTAGCAAGATAAGAATCTCCCAGGCTCACCTCCCTATCTTGGGCTCAGCCTTCTGCCTCCCACAACCTTGGCCTCCCAGCCTCATCTGTCCCCCTTCAGGCTTTGGATCCATTGTGAACATGACCTTACAGCACATCCTGAAGCTGACTGGGGACTCCAGCCAATTTCAGAGGGAGCTGAAGAAGCAACTGGTTTCTGGAAAGCTGGCTACCCCCAAGGGACAGCTGGATGCTATGGTGCAAGTTGCCTGTGCCTGGTGAGCCTACTAATCCCTTCCAAGGTCTGCAGACTTCCCCAAGTCTGGATCCTCGTGGAGTGCTGCAAGCTGCTTACACTAGCCAGTGTTCTCTCAAAGGTACAAGCCCTTTGCTTGTTGTCAGCCTGAGAAGAATAACCCTCACTAGACCCCTAGAGAGCCACTGGAGGCAGGCTGGGAGGGAGAGAGGGAAGCAGGCAATGGGACCTGGAAGTTACCTATAGATTTCACTATTAATCTATAATGTCACTAACTCTCCTGAAGCCTGCCTAGATCTTCTCAGGTGACCATTGTAAGCTGAACCTCACCTATGTCCTGAGTCAGCGGCCAATCTCACTTGCAAGCCAAGACATCAATCCCTGTCCAGAGTTCACTCCTGACTCCTCTCAGACACACACCAGCCTTCATCTGTCCCAGGCTCTCTTTATAATGTCACTGCTGCAGTAAGCTGACACTGCCCTCCCTCAGGTCTCAGCCCTCCAGCCTCCCTTGGCCCCTGAACGTATTGTTTTCAGACCATGGGCACATACCTTTTCCATGGTGTCAGACTACAGTGTGTTACAAGCACACGCTCCTTTGCAGGGATGATTCCGGAAGATGCAGTCCCCCTGTTGTCTCTTCACTGGATTCACCTGTCATGATGGACACCACAGTATTCTCTTTTGGGGGAAATGTTTTTGGAAGTCTGGTTCTGGAGGGATGCGCTATGGCAGTTTTAACTTTTTCGGAGCAGACATGTATTTCATGTCCCTCACCTCACACGTTGAGCATCTTAGCAGACACATCTCAGAGTCAATCCTGACTGCCTCTTTCTGTTGCCTGGATGCTGCAAAACCCCAGAGGAGGAGAGGCAGCAGCTCCCCCTCTGCAAGCTGCCACACCTGTCTCCTTGGAGAGCCCAGCTGAGAAAGCACAGCAGGTAACTCCAAGACACTTCTTCCCCAGGGAAAAATCGGCTGGCACAATGGGACCCAGTTTCTGGTGCTTGCCACTGACAATGATTTCCACTTTACTAAAGACAAGACTCCAGGTACCAGACAGAACACCAGTGATGGTCACTGTCACCTGGAAAACAGCCTCTGCAGGAGCAGTGGAGAACCTGTGAGAACCTTTCCTGCCCTGGCACACTCTGGGGCTCAATCCTGCATGACACAAAACAAGGTGGGGGGAAGTAGAAAATAAAACAGCACTCTTACAAACTTGCCCCCATGCAATGGAGTGGGGGAGAAGGGGCAGGGTCACACAGGTCTACCTCTCCAGACCCTTGGATATCTTTTTCCAACCTAAGCAACAAATTCAAGAAAAACTTCATGTCGGGTCTCTGGATATCAGCCTCGGGACAGAGCACAGTGGTAGGACACTAAGACACACTGAAGACAGTCTCTCCTGTTCTGCAAAACCAGTGGGAAGTCACAAAGAAATAGAGATGAGCTAGAAGGAGTCAACTAGGGGGACCCTGGGTCCACACCAAGAGGCTAAGACCCCAGGGGACTGGGTGGGCTGGTAGAAAGAACTGCAGGCAAGCCCCAGCAGGACTAATGGGACTGGATTGGGGGATAATGAAGGTCTCCTACCTGAGTCCCAACCTAGCATGACAGCTGTGGCTCTCTGATAAAGAGGTTCTGTGGGTAACAGGTGACTGGATATGGGCTAGAATGTAAGGCAGAAAGGAGCCACCAGGAAGGATTCGAGGGACCCTGGGTCTGTACCAAGAGGTCAAGCACATCACAATTTCTGGTGTTTTCTTAACTGTCTTTCAATAGCATCCATTTCTGATTAATTCTGTTTCACATACTTAGACATCTTGTTCAGAGAATAGTACTGCCACAGGACTGGGGCAGCCAGGACTTGAGCAGACATCAGAGCCCTAGGCACTTGCTTTAGATGGGCAGCCTGACAGGATGTCTCTTCTCCCCAGGACTACCAGTCAGTGATCCAGCTGGTGAGCAAACTGGCTGAAAACAACATCCAGCCCATCTGCATGGTAGCCTCGAGGATGGTGGGAACCTATGAGGTAAGAGAGATGATCGTGAGCAAGGGAGGCATCTCAACTGCAGAAAGCGGAAGCCCACCATTCTCACAAAAGAATCACCAAAGTTCTGTTCCTGCATGCCAGATTGAGGGCCTGGGGCCAGAATAGGACACATGTCCAGTGGCCTGAGATGAGGAAGATGATGGCCATAATCTACTTGTAAAGTCTGATGACCAGTTCTGGGCCAGGAGGGTACCTACAGGAGAACCTCAGACCTAAGGTATGCAGTGGGACCACTGGGGACCTCAGCTTCCTCCTCTTTGACAGACAGTGATGACCACCTGAGAGGACCACTATAGGGACTGAGCTGATTCATCCAGTTACTTCAGAAATCAGCTCCTCCAGGAACAAATTCTCCCCATCTGTGAGAGACAACAGTGTCCCCTGACATCATCCATTCTCAGAGCCACAGACACACATTTTCCATGTCGACTTCCCTTGTGTCTCAACTCTGAGGCTGTGCCACCTTACACAACAGCCAGGTGCAGGGCTAGATTGAGTGTGGACCTGAAACCTACAAAGGCTGGTAAAGTGACATTTGTTGGTTGTGCGTTGCTGAATTGAGGACTCAGGGTTGGGTCACATCACAAGTCTCAGGCAAGCCTTGGTTGCCAGGACAACAAGCAATTCTTGCTGTTAGGTTTCCAGGCTCCAGCAAAGTGGGGCTACTGTACAGAAACACCAAGAAAGAAGAGGAGGCAGCCTGGAATACCTCCATAATGGCCAACCACAGAGGACAGTGGTTTGACTCTGCACAGGTTGCCAGCCAGGGGATCGAAGAGGAGACCACGCCATAGTCAGGATATCACAGCCCCATGTCCTCATCTGTAATTGGGCTATGAGAGTCCCCATGCTTGTAGGGTTGTAGAGGGTCCCAACTCTTTGCTGTCTGTGGAAGATGTCACACTCCCACAGACAGCATTGTGACAAGCAAGGATGCTACAGATAGGAGACTTACCCCTACTACTTCCTTTGCCTTGGGAGATCATAGGCCTCCTTAAGTCTCTGTTCCTTGGAGATTGGTCAAGGCCACAGGAAGCATATGAGGATGTTACACACAAGAACCTTCTTTGTGCATGCTTCTGGACTTCAGAGAGAGCAACTTTCACAAGGCAGTACCCAAATTTTCGAGGGGGGGGACAGTCCCAAGGCCAAGACAAGTGGTAGTGAATTGCAGAGAAGGTTAGTAGCCCAGCTGTAGCAAGCCTTCTGTGCTCGACAGAAAGGACAGACTCTATTCTAGAGAGTCACAGGACAATGCTGGGTAGAGAAGTGGCCTGTCAGTAGCACGTCCCTGGAGAGGGTGGCAATGTTCCTTCTTCATGAAATATACCATCTCAGAATGACACTAGGGCAATTGTAGGGAAGATGCTGGCCTGTCTGTTTTCAGGGGCTCAGACTGGCCACCTCCAGAGACAGTGGGAAGCAGATCTTTCCTGCCAGAGCTGATTGTCACAGGGTTGTCTAACGTTGCCACCATTGAAATCAGATTGCTCAAACTGGGTCATGCTCAGGACTTCCCTCTTGATGTGATTTCACCACATTCTAGTGTTATCTGTGCACCCATGTGCCATGTGTGGGATTTCTGCCCACCTCCCTGACACGGTGAAAATACTGTCCCGTGGTGAGCCAGGTGCATGTTCCCTGTCAGTCACATCAGCAGCTTGTCACTGGAACTGACTGCCAGGAGCACTTAAACAACAGACATGAGGGCGATAAGAGCCAGATGTTGGCACTTGGCAGCACGCTGCTGGTGCTCATTCTGTGACTTGAAGTTGGGAGTTAGTTGAGCATCATCCTAGCCACCTGGAGGGTTTAGAAGACCCTCTGGGTGTCACAGGCCCTCATGAGCGTGGAAGAGTTGGTGGTACCAGGTGCCAGCTTGATCTTCTCTCCCAACAGAAACTTACCACATTCATCCCCAAGCTGACCATCGGGGAGCTGTCAGATGACTCCAGCAACGTGGCACAGCTCATCAGGAACACCCACAGTGTGAGTCTCCTGGAGAAGCTGCATGAGACGATCAGAACTCCACAGTTAGCAAAGCCCTGACCTGTGAGATCCCTCTGTCGCCCCTGCAGCCCCTATAGGCATCTCACAGTCTTCTGGACAGAGAGCACAGGGCAGCTCCTCCTCACAGTGGTGAGTACCACAAGCCCAGATCTCACCTCCCTGAAACATGAGTTCCAAGCCCTACTCGAGTGGAGCGCTTCCTTGTCAGCCACTATGGAGATAAAAGAGGGCAGATGGCCAGGGAAGAGCATATACTGCCTCACAGGCTGGAGAGACCTCAGAAACCACCTCAGAAAATTTGTACCCTGTGTATATAGCCGTGAGGAGAGGAATCTCTGTGTCAAAGTAACTTGGGGGGGAAGGATGTTATTTCCCCCCAATAACTCAAGCTTAAACCTTGCTGTCATCAAAGGACAGCAAGGCAGGAACTCAAGCAGAAACCTGAGGGCTGAAACTGCAGCTAAGGGCATGGAGGAACACTGCTTACTGGCCTGCTCCTAGTATCTTATTCAGATACTTTTCTTATACAGCCCAAGGACACCTCCCCAGGGATGACACCACCTAGAGTGTATGCAGGACCCTCCTGCATCAATTAGCAATTAAGAAAATGCCCCACAGACATGCCCAATCTGATGAAGGCATTTCCTCAACAGAGGTCGCCTCTTCCAAGGTGACTCTGGTTTGTGTTAAGCTGACAAAAACTAATCAGCACAGAACCTCATGCATGCCAGCCCCCAACACTGCCTCAGGCAAATCCTGAGTCCATCAGTCCTCCTCCTCCTCCCTGGTGTGTGGTCTAGCTGCATCCAGGTTCACTCCCTTGGAGTTCCAGAGTTCTGGTAGACAACGGCGTGCACCAAATGCTGCCCACTCCCCAGGACCAATTAAGTCCCTACAGATACAGAAATGCACAGGTGACAGGTATCCCCAAATTCTGACCTAGGCTCCTAGGGTGGGGCTGGTAGCAAAAATGTGTGCTATTGCTGACCAAGGAAAGGTCTCATTGCCTTCTCTAGCCTTGTGAGCCTCAGGTGTCTCAAGAAGGTTTCTGTACCTGGTCACTGCCCAGTCATGTCTGATTCTGTCTTCATAGGGATAACTCCGATGACAACATCATTACATACTCACCAGATGTTACCTGTCCCTTCTCCTTCCACCTGTGTCTCATCCCTCATCACTTCAACAGTCTATCTCCCCTCCTCTGCTAACCCTGGAATTGAACAGCAGCAGGACCTTGCAGAGACCACAGCTGTGTCTATGCTGGTCATCTGTCAGTAGCCTGTCTCAGAACAAGCCATGGCATCGGCCTGCTGCCCCATCCTGACACATTCACTGAGCTCCCAGTAGGTGTCTGTGTGTCATCAACACAAACAGGAGGGGCATGAGAAGTATCACAGTGCTGGGGGATGGGGACAACTGGACCTGTAATTCCTGAGTATGGCTTCTGTCTGCCCACAGTAACTCTTATCCAGAGTCATCCTGGACCACAGCACCCTCCCCAGCCTCCTGAAAGTTACCTATGACTCTTACTGGAGCAATAGAACATCAAGTACAGGCAAATCCAGAGGGGACTGCAAGGATGTGCAAATCAATGACCAGGTGAGCCTGGGGTTCCCATCCCAGCATGCTACAGGGACTACCAGATATCTCAATAACTCAATACCAGAGGCATATAGGAGGGAACAAAGACTCATATAGGGACAGGCAGGAGAGAAAGCTATGGTGGCCAGCAGCCAGCTCCTTCTCCCTTTAAACACCACTTAGCAGAGCCCAGGTGCTATCATTGTGGTGATATTAAGGAGACACCTCCTGGAATAGCCCAGATACCCAGACCAGTCATGCACTGACAGCACCAGTCCTGCAATGACAGCACCCCTGGGGACAAGTGCTAGACTCAGAGAGATACAAACAATACTGGGTTGGGTGAGACTTTCTTATTTTTGTTTCATTTTATCTTTTAATGGAAACATCAAAACTCAAGGCATGCAGGTGAGCAGAAACATGAACTGCACCAGATATACATTTGTTACCCAAGCTTTCCATGTCTCTTTTTGCCCGTGAACTAACATCTCATACCAGACAGAACCTGTGCTTCTTTGCCAGTTCTTAGCATCCATCCCCTCCTGCCGAGTGATCCACATGGGAATTTGACCAATTTTATTCTAATTTTCAGATGTTTGCTCCTTGCCTTTACTGACATTTCTACTCTTTCTTCAAGTACCATGTGGTTTAAATTTATTTTAGATGTGGCTTAACTTTGTAAGGCAGTATGCTCTGCAGACAGAGCTTCCCTTCTGGTGCTACCTGTGTGTGCTGTTACTGCCTGAGACCCTTACATTTGTTCTGGGTTGGATAAAGGACATCACCCTACCTATGACATTCTGGTATCTTAGTGCACTGGACTTACAGATACTACACAAGGGGAAATGTGCCCCACATATTGACTGTAAAACTTCCTGCTGTGTATATAATGAAAACCATCAGCTCCCAAGTCTGATTCGCAGCAGAACTCGGGTGTGGTTAATGCAGGCTGTGGGTTGGGGCAGGGATCTGGCCTCCCTGTAGCTTGGTCTGTAGGGCATCCCAAAATCCAGCTCCTATCCTCTTTCCACTGCTTCAGAGAGAACCCATGCCACCCCTCCCCTGACATTGTTCTGGTCCCTCAACATCTCTGGGGATAAAGGAGCAGGACTGTGACCGTGGTCACCATGACCCCCAACTGAACCCCATCATTCCTCTATAGGTCACCTTCCAGGTTAATGTCACAGCTTCAGAGTGCTTCTGGGAGCAGTTCTTTTTCATCCAGGCACTGGGCTTCATGGATTCAGTGACCATGTGGGTCCTTCCCCTGTGTGAGTGCCAGTGCCAGGAGCAGAGTCAGCATCACGGCCTCTGTGGAGCCAAGGGTGTTGTGGAGTGTGGCATCTGTAGGTAAGCCAGGCCAACCCGTAGAAAGGCATCTATAGGTGAGGTGAACCTAGAAAGCCCACAGCAAAATATCTGCAGACACTTGCCCCAAAACAGGACAGGTATCTACAGATGAGGCAGGAATGGCCAGCCTGTAATACACCAGCCCATGGGAAAAGTATCCACTGGTAAGGTAACCATGACAACCCATAGCACATCATCCTACTAGATAGCTCCTAGGCTTCATGGTGTGAGTGTAGCTGGTGAAGAACCTGGGGTTTGTACCCCGCAAAGCCCTTCCTGTCATTTCCCAACCAGAGTAATTCTCACCAATTCCAACCTCACTCGCTATTCTCTGGCTGCGAAGGAACCAAGGCAGAGAACTGACAGACAGGAAACTCCACTCAGCAGAAGACAGAGATTCAGTAGCAGGCAAGGACTGAAGACAAAAGAGGTCAAAGCTGAGGTGTGGTCCCTTAGCCACCTGAGATCCAGGGACATTCAGAACCCACAAGTAGTAGACCCTCTGCCCCCCATGGTCTGTCTGTATGACTAACTGCATGGTGCCATGATAGCCGGTCAAAGCAAGGGTTCATGGCCCTGCAAAGTGTGTTTACAGCAGGGGACACTGTAAACACAGCCTCATCCAGCAAGGGCCCAGGGTTATGGGAAAATGATTCCTGGTTCCTACCTGCCTTCAGGTTTACGCTTGGCCCACTCTACTAAGGGCAGCTTCAGGAGGGATCTCAGTGCCTACTGACCTTCCATTCATGGTGCTTGGGAGACCATTGAGAAAAGAGCATACATGCTATGCTATGCTTTCCAGGTGTTTGGATATGTACCTGGCCCAAAGGGGCTGAAAGTGTGCTCATCCCAGGAGAGGTTCTTAGTACAGCTCTTCCTACACTGCCCCAGGTACAACTCTGGCTACACTGGAAAAAACTGTGAGTGCCAGACCCAGGGCAGGAGCAGCCAGGAGCTGGAGAGAAGCTGCCGGAAGGACAATAGTTCCTTCGTTTGCTTGGAGCTGGGGGACTGCATCTGTGGGCAGTGTGTGTGCCACACCAGTGATGCCCCCAACAAAGTGATCTATGGGCGATACTGCGGTTCCCAGTGTGACAATGTCAACTGTGAGAGATATGACAGCCAAGTCTGCCCATGTGAGTGACAAGGGCCACCAGGAGACATTGAGTGGAACGCTGGGACAGACAGGTGTACAGATACGTGCTAGACTTACTAAGCCACACAGAAGCAGCAATCCTAGGCGGGCCTTCCATCTCTGTGAGGGTCGGGCATTGTCCTAGGAGGGTAACTGGTAACAGTCCTGACTCAAGAGTTATTTAGACACGATAGGGAGCCCAGTCTAGATGAAAGGTGACTGTGTTGCTGGAGAGGTGAGGGGGGGGCCGGCCCCCCCCTCTCCCTGGTCTCTGTATCTTTGCCCAACTATCCTTGCAAGGTATTGTGGGATTGTATGAGGAGATACAGGCACAACCAGGCAGCAGAGGACACTGTAAACACAGCACCATCCAGCAAGGATCCAGGGTGGTGGGGAAATGATTCAGGGTTTCTACCTGCCTTCAGGAAGATGAGTCACAGCAACCCCAGTTGTTTTCCAGTCAGGGGCCGCTGCTCCTGCGGCCTATGCAATTGTGCGAAAGGCTTTGAAGGCTCAGCATGCCAGTGCCAGAAGTCCACTGCGGGTTATCTGAACAAAAGGCTGAAGGAGTGCAGTGGCCATGGTCAATGTCACTGTAACAGATGCCTCTGTGACCTGGGCTACCTGCCACCACTGTGTGAGGAGTGTCCCAGCTGTACTTACCGTCACTGCTATGAGTACTAGTGAGTTGTCTGTCCCCACCACCCACACTGACCTCACTGCCAGACTACCTTGAAGTCCCCAGGGACACCACGACCCCATAGTTCTCAGCAAGATCCAGCAGACCCACCAGGAAGCCTTATTTTGAGGGGAATCTTCCCTCCCTTGGGTCTTTGAATCTAATCTCCACCAGCTCTGCCCTTCATCTCCTCCCAGGACCACTGTCTGTCTCCACCCTCACTTGCACCGCTGTGATGGCCTCTTAGGGTGCCTAGGACTGTCACCACAGGATCGGCTTGCACGTGGACATCCTCACATATCACACACTGGATCTTGACAACCCCATGTACCCTGAGACACCTGTTCATCCTTGCACACCTGTACCCCTTAATCATCAGGGCAACATGACATGCTAGTCTACACACACACACTATGCACCTTGACACATCTGTGAAGTCTTGCACACCAGTACCTACTGATCCAACAGTGCACCCTAACATACAAGTACACACTCACACAGTGTGCACCCTCACACACACACAGCCTTACACATCAATACAACTTATTCACCAGTGTGTCCAGACACACCAGTATGTACTCACATAACTTGAACCTTGACAAACTCATACACACAGCCTTGCACTGTGATTCACCAGTGCACCCTAACATACAAGTATACATTCACACAGCATACACCCTGACACATATGCATCCTTACGCACCAATACACACTTACTCACCAGTGCACTCTCACAGAGCAGCGTGCACTCATGTGTCATTCACCCTAACACACCCATGCACCCTGACACCTGTGAAGTCTTGCACACCTGTGCATCCTGATACATTCATGCATCTTTGCATAGTGCTGAGACCCCAACACACCTGCGTGTCCTCACACACCTGTGCACCTTGCCCATCCATGTGACATTTGCCTCGTGTTCTTGGGCCCCCCTCACCACCTCATTCCATCAAACTCACTCTCATCTTCTCTTCAGCTCCTGTGTCAGGTGCTTGGAACACAGCAGTGCAATAGGATGCACAGTTTGTCACGATCTGCTGCTTTCAACCACTCCCTTGAATGACAAGACCTGTATGACTGAACGGGACTCAGAGAACTGCCAGATGACCTTCACTCTATATCAGCCAGACTGGAGTGACATCAATTCCATCCATATAAAGAAAAGACTAGGTGAGGCTGGACAGTGCCCAGATCTGGTACAGGTAGGACATAGTGACAAGAACTCTGGCCACAGGTGCCTCTGCAGATATTGAGAGGGCTGCAAAGGAAAGATCTCTCTCTCTCTCTCTCTCTCTCTCTCTCTCTCTCTCTCTCTCTCTCTCTC